GATCTCTTAACAAATGTGACAATCGGGGATTCGAAACCGTCCCAATTACTACGACGCATGCAACAACTGTTGGGCGACAACAACATATCAGCCACAGTATTTCGCCAAATGTGGCTGGACAAATTACCATCAGACATGGTACGAATCTTGGCTGCATTAACAGACGACGTTGACATACAAAAATTGGCAATGATAGCGGACAAAATAGCCGATACTGCCCCGGTACGACAAATTTCCTCAACGGAGACAGTGGATGGCCTTGTGCCAGATGTCAACCAACAGATTCAAAAATTGTCCTCAGAATTAAAAAGAATATCTCTACAACTGCATGAATTACAAAAACCACATGAAAGTCGACGTAATAATTTTACGCGACACAGAAACCGTGGTTCAAGATCGACGTCTCGCCATAAATACCAACAACGCCGAGATCATTACCAACATGCCAATGCTGGTACCACGAAAATTTTGGCGCGCGCGAGAAAAATGCCGACCACCATGTTCGTATGAAAAGTCACTTCCAAACAAACAAGCGGGAAACGGACTCGCTGGCATCCAGTAGAGACGTTGGATGCCAGATATTTAAAAACTAATCGTCTCTTTTATATCCACGACAGAGCGAGCTGTTTAAAATTTTTAATTGACACCGGTGCCCAAATAAGTGTCCTGCCTTTCAAAAATTGCAGCAAACAGACTCTGGTCAAGCATACATCTTTCAAATTACAGGCCGCTAATGGCACTCCGATCACCACTTACGGCGAGCGAACCCTAACGCTAGACATCGGCCTGAGACGAGAATTTACGTGGATTTTTACTATCGCAGATGTTGCAATGCCGATCATAGGAGCGGATTTCCTAACCCATTACAAATTATCGGTTGAGTTGGCGTCACAAACTTTAACTGACATTAGCACTAATCTACAACGATGCGTTTGCATTTCCAAGTATTCGACAATCGGTCTGACGACTGTTGTACCTACAGCCAATGGCTACAATGAGATAATACGTCAGTACCAATCGCTACTGTCACCGTCAACACATAATGAACCTGTGAAACACCACGCCACTCATAGTATTAAGACCATAGGACCTCCAGTTCATTCTCAACCTCGCAGACTCCATCCGAGTAAACTAAAAATAGCTCGCGACGAATTTGACAACATGCTCAAACTTGGTGTAATCCGTCCTTCAGCCAGTCCCTCTACATATGGTTGTTAAAGCTGACTCAGCTAGTTGGCGTCCGTGCGGCGACTACAGGTTACTAAACGCGCAGACCGTCCCGGACAAATACCCAATCCCTCATATTAAAGATTTCGCCCTTTCGTTGGAAGGTGCTAAAGTATTCATCAAACTCGATCTTAAAAAGGCATATTATCAAATCCCCATTGAGAAAGTCGACATCCCAAAAACTGCTATTACAACGCCTTTCGGACTCTTCGAATTTACGAGAATGCTCTTCGGATTGCGTAACGCGGCGCAGTCTTTCCAGAGGCTAATAGATGTTCTACGCGGAATGCCCTACACATATGCTTATATAGATGACGTACTCATAGCAAACAAGTCTCATGAAGAACACCGTGAACATCTGCATGCAGTTCTCAAAAGATTACAGCACTATGGTTTAAAACTAAATATTGATAAATGCGTTTTCGCAGTACCGAGTTTAACTTTTCTCGGGCACATTTTAGACCAACATGGATTGACTTCCTTGGATCAGAAAATTACGGCGATCGCTAATTATCCTCCACCTTCCACACTGAAGCAATTGAGGAGATTTTTGGGGATGATTAACTATTATCGACAGTTCATCCCAAATTGTGCGTCAATTTTATTACCACTGAGGAATATCTTGTCTCTGCATAAAAGAAAAAATTCGCAGATATCACTATCACAAGATGAGCTACAATCATTTCAAAATGCAAAAGATGCACTACAGAACTGTGCCAAACTAACTTACATTAATTCATCGGAGAAAGCTAACCTCACCTTAACAACAGATGCATCAGCCGACACAGTTGGCGCTGTGTTGCACCAAATTACTGATGGCATCGAAACACCTTTGTCTTTTTTCTCACTAAAGCTAAATGCTCCACAGAAGAAATATAGCACTTTTTCAAGAGAATTACTTGCCGTTTATTTGGCGATACGGCATTATCGACACATCCTTGAGGGTAGAGACTTTATCATTCTCACCGATCATAAGCCGTTAACTTATGCACTGCACGCGAAGTCCAATAAACTAGACCCGAGAGATATTCGCTACCTGGATTACATCAGTCAATTTACATCGGACATTCGATTCGTAAAAGGTCAGCATAATACTGTTGCAGATGCATTATCGAGACCTACACGTGACGTGATACAATCATCCTCACTCGAATTCGACACACTTGCTGAAGAACAGTTGAGTGACGACACACTCCCTTCAGTGCAGGCAGATACCTCTTTGAAATTAGAAAAACGTCCACTCCCTTTCACCGACAAGCTTGTTTACTGTGATATCTCAACAGGCAACCCTCGACCCTACCTTCCTCCGTCGATGAGAAAAACAGTTTTCGATCATTTTCATTCACCAGCTCATCCTGGAGCGAAGGCTACGCTGCGGACCATATCTGACAGATTCGTCTGGCCCGGTATGGCTTCCGACGTGAAACAGTGGTCCCGCACATGCCAGCATTGCCAGGCAACAAAGATAAGTCGTCATACGAAAGCACCATCGTCAAACTTTACGGCCCCTGACGGTCGTTTTACTCATATACACACCAACCTTGTGGGTCCGCTTGACAGGACCAATGGATACGAATATATTCTGACTATCGTAGATCGCTTCACACGATGGCCTGTGGCCGTACCGCTATCGACGATAACAGCAGAAGCGGTGGCCAACGCTATCTTTCAGAATTGGATTTCAATATTTGGATGTCCTGCGGTTATTACTACCGACAGAGGCCCTCAGTTCCAGTCGACTTTATTTACTGAGTTCGTCAATTTTCTCGGAATTAAACACATTTCTACTACGGCATATCATCCCTGCAGCAACGGATTAGTAGAACGTTTTCATCGACAGCTCAAGTACGCATTAACAGCGTCTACCAGTGCTCGTACATGGGTAGATAAGCTGCCGTATGTTTTTTTAGTAATCTAAATTGACGTAAAATCAATCATGTCTTCCATTATTGACAGTTTTATAAACAAAAGTAATTCTCTGTATATACCGTGACACTATCATCAATTTTGAAGGCGTCTATAATTGAATAATATAAGATCTGCATTATACACCCGAAAACATTACTCCAACTCCTCCCTGCTGTCTTCTAAGTTATGTTGGTTAACTGTTTCAATAAAGATCCCAACCATCAGGTCCATTCAATATAGCTCTATATTCATTATTAAAATTACTATTGAGGAATCAGTTTTGACGTACTTCATCCAATTTACACGCTTCTGTTTCTAATGTAACTTAGTGTCACTGACAAAACTAACCTGGCCGTGCGTCTCGAAAAGGACCTCCAATCGGTTGTGAACTGGGGCAGGAATTGGCTGGTCAACTTTAATGCCTCAAAAACAAAACTGCTCTCTATTAATCACCACAGAGATCCTTCCCTGCCCTCCATTAGAATGTCTGACGCTCAACTTCTCGAGAGCACCTCTCTGCGGCTGCTCGGTCTCACGTTGACTGCTGACCTGAGATGGAACAAATACATTGAGTTAATTGCTTCGTCCACCGCAAGGAAAGTTGGCTCCCCTGTGCCGCGCCAGGAAATTTTTCTCCCCGGAATCGATCCTCCAGATCTACAAATCAACAATTCGCCCTTGCATGGAGTATTGCTGCCATATATGGTCTGGAGCCCCTTCTGTTTGCCTCGGGGTTCTTGATAGGCTCCAGAGGCGGATATGCAATATAATTGGCCCTGTTCTGGCATCTCGTCTACAGTCACTTTTTCACAGACGCGCCGTCGCCTCTCTCTGTCTGTTTTACAAATACTTTAATGGTAATTGCTCCGAGGAGCTGCATTTGCTGATTCCCAGACTTCATTAGTTCAAGCGCCCTACGAGGCTGGCATCCCGCTCTCACTGTCGAAACTCCTAAATGTAGCCGTCTCTTCTACTCCAATAGCTTCATGTCTCGCACCTCTCGCCTGGAACTCCCTTCCATATTCCAGTTTCCCTGAGAGCTATAATCTCCAGCTATTCAAATGTAATGTCAATCGACATCTCCAGTTGCCTTGATCTATCCACTACCCTTCTCCTCACCCTTTCCTCTATCACTTCTATCTGATCTTGCTCCAAATTTTCTGTAACCCCTTGCGTCCTAGTGGCTTCTCGCCATGCTTGGGATGAAACGCTTAAAAAAAAACTTAAATGCAGGAATTTACTTGCTTTCATGTCTTTAGCAAAACTTCTTAATATTCTACGTTTTCTTCTTTCACATCAGGTTTTCAAAGATTTTCTAGATGATCAATCCATTTTTCTTGTTTCTTTCCCTTCTTCATTTTGTGTAACATTTTAATAGCCATCTTTTTCTTGCTATTATCAATGTTTTCAATTTCTTTTTTGATTATTCTCTGATCTCTGCTAAACTTTTCCATAATTTCCAATGTTTTCAATATAATTTTTTTCTTTTGAGGTTATATCTTTCTTACGACCCATGGCAATCTTTAAAAAAGTAAATGTCAGTAACTATACTATTGTATATATTTATTTATAACATGCTGAACAAACCTCGAGTTACATAATAAAATCTCACATAGTTTATTGTATAAATTTCTAATAAAAACAGATATTATAAACTGAAATTCATGTGGTATAGTTATTATATAAAATTAAATATATCCTGAAAATTTTACCATCATTTGTTAATACCAGTATTATTGTGAAAAAAAAAATGACTTAAAATAAAATTTCAACAAAAAATAAATGTAATCAATTAGTTTTCGAATATTTGGATTTCTTTTCGTTTCATTGCACTGACAAATTTATATTTTCCTTCCGATTCTCAGGTGCTCGACGCCCCATCATTGAACCACCGATTCCAGGTTATACTGGTTATATTCCGTTGATTAAACCAACCGAGACTGGACTTGGTGCAAGATTCCATCACATCAGCGATGCTGCTTTGAAAAATTTCTGGTCCAGCCGTGGTGCATCTGCAGATATTCCGACTAGCACGTGAGTAATATTGATTCATCCCATTTCAAATGACCCCAGTTTTATAAAGAAGCTGCCAAATAGATTTGAATAGACTTAATGGGCCAATGCTGATCTGTATATTATTATGATCCGATTTGTGTTTGTCGGTGTCTTTGTTAATATAACACAGCAAAAAAAAAAAAAAAAAATAAAAAAAAACAGCATATCGTTGTAATGGGGACGCCTGGCAAGTAGGGATATTTACAGTTTGCATTTCCCCTGTAGTGGCCTAGCCAATCTGTATCGGTGAGAAAATACAAATTAAACTGACCCATTTTTTGGCGCGTTGAACAGGTCAACTAGAGGTCAACCGTGCGGACGTAGGCAGAAACATGATATTATTTATGGACCAATCAGAAAGCTTTGTTTCATACTGAACTATGGAGCCAATTTTAATGGGTTCAGCACAAACTGAGAATACTTAGCCGTGATCCTCTTTTAACAGGTTTAAAACAGAGAATGTAGAAATCTAATTCTACACCCCAGGCATTAGTATATCCGTGATATAGCAATACCTTAATACAACGGACGGAACAGAATGCCTGAAAGAAAGGAATTACAAACATGCCTTGTTTTCAAAGAGATTTTTTGTACTGATATTGTCACTAATTTGTCCCACACAGATAAATTATATCATACGAATAAGTAGTCTGAAGAGGAGAAAAGTGATAAGAGCTTGTTTGTAATATTTCCCGAATGGAAAACGGGAAGGCTAGTGCTGTCTTTTATGTATCTGGTGAGACCATATGGTTTTCTTTGTTCTCTTAACTGTCATGGGCAGCCCTGTCTCACTTTTCTATTCTCTACATAGCAATTTACGTGGATAGTAACTGGCGTTCGTCATTCTATGAACTGATGTCACTCACCGGCCATTACGTGACCCTCGTGATTTCATCTCAACCAAAGGGAGATAATCACCATTTGCATCCCTACAGTAGCGAAATTTTTGTTCTACTTTTAATATTAATAATATAATGGAGTCATAGATAATCTTAAAATGTCTACATGAAATAAATCTTGGCATAAAATTCTGCAAAAAAAGTGAAAATACTTGTGATACCCCCAAATAATGAATGAAAAACAAAAAGTGAAACTCAAATTCAAACAGTTCTTTTTATCTTCAAAATATCACAGCAAGACAAAATGCTTGTAAATTCAAAATGGACGCGTACATGATAAATCACCCCTATTTAACTTAAAAAAGTTCCCATCTGTGTATCCAGACCTGAAAGCCTGTGGATCGGAGAATGGTTCAGAGAATCGGATAGTTTGTTCTATTTACCAATAACATACCCAAAAAGGAATTTGATCTGCAATAAGAAAACATCATAAACACAAAAGTGTTAATTATAGACTGATTAATGAGAAGAGAATATAGAAATCGATAGTTTATCGATATTGATGGTCGCAAAGATTTTCAGAGATTTTCAGATTTAGAAACAATTCAAAATATTTCTATTATAAGAACTTTAATAACATCAACACAAAAATATTATTTAATCCAAGTCGAGATTTGTTCTAACATTTCTGACCGGTGATTCAAAGATTGCAACAGTCACATAATTAAAGAAGTTTATATCACTTCGCTGATCATTATTTATATAGTATTCTATTTGTTAAGAGAAAAAGTGTCGATTCTATTCACTCACCCATTCTAATGTAGTTCCTTTGATGCATTTATTCATACCACGTGGACATCTCGAACTTAAATGAAAAAAATCTGAGAAAGCCCCCCCCTCTCTCCCCCCCTCTCTCTCTCTCTCTCTCTCTCTCTCTCTCTCTAATCTAAACTAACACCAATGTTTTAGCCTTTTACCGTCCTGGGTAAGAAGATAAACTACATCCGACAGCAAGGCCTCTGATCAGGAGGTTTAAAGGTGCGTGGAACCACCTCTTAATTGCTATGTTCCCAGATACACTCTGATCCGGGGTGGTAGCACCTGTTAGGGTCCCAGCTATGGGCAAATAGTTAACCCCCAAACTGGGGTCAAAACACTATGAAAGTGTAAAAAAATAGGTTTTAATACCAGAAATAGTTTGTAAAAAATATTGCCAGCAATAAATTTCGGAAGAAAAAATTTAAAAAAAATACCAGAAGTAGATTTTTGAAGGAAAAAATATTAGCAGCAACTGATGAGACTGATATGCCGTAAAACAAACCAAACCTAGCCTTTTACGGAGGTTCAAATGCAGACCATTGGCCAATATGCAAGTACTCTCTCTCTCCCTCTCTCTCTTTCTTTCTGTCTGTCTGTCTCTGTCTCTCTCTCTCTCTCTCTAATAGCTTATAACGAGCCTTACCAACACGGTTTGTATTGCCAACACTAAGACGGCGTTATTTTGAGGTCTAAAATTATAATTTTTTTTAAGGGGTGTTTATTTCATCAAATGGATATCAAATAAAAGACGTAATTTAACTTCCTTTCAAATTATAGTCATTTTTTTCTTCTTGGTTAACCAAAAGAGTATTCAGAATGGCACCGCCATCACCACTGACATTTCGGTCATCATTCCTCTTCTCTTGAATCTATAAGTGCACGCTGTCGTTTTCATACAGTTAGCCATTGACCATTTAAATAGGTTTCATTGATCGTGACCACAACTGCCCTTTTGTTATTTACCCGTCGCTATCATGGACCTTCATATTTTGTCAAAGAGAGGTTCGTTGATACTTTAAATGGTGTAGATGCTATTTTCCCATCGGATACAAGCCAAATCGCATCACACCTATGTCACCTTCAATGTAGCTACAGTAAGTTATGATCGAATAGCCATTATTACATCAGCTGTTGAAAATGGATTTCAACATGGCCTACTGGGCTATTTTAAGAATTGTTTCTCCGTTTATTTTATGTGGATCCATCAAATTTAATGTGTGTGTAAGAGCTTTGTTACTGTTACAATGCTTTTGGGTAATAAGGTTGTTTAGGGCGAGTAGTTGACTCCAAGTATTCACTCGCTTCTCCATCGACCAGTAAAGGACAACACACACACACACACACATATATATATATATGGTGTATTTGTGCAGACGACAAGAACTGTCATGTGAAGACATAAAAACACGATATTTGAAAATGAAGTAACTGACATAGGGAAAAAAAATAAGTCTTTTATAATAGCCGAAAGTACGCAGATATTGGCTAATTTATATCTAAATATGTACCGGAAACCAGGAAAATTAACCGAAATATGAAAATAAATTCTTACCAATGAATTCTCGTTGGTTTTCAAACCAATATATATATATATATATATATATATATATATATATATATATATATATATATAGGGCGATTGAAAAATAACTCCCCATTTTAAAATAATTATAGTTTATTTATTAACTATAATTTTTACAAGAAATAGATATGAGAGGAAAGCGTTTAGCATGAGGATATATTTAAAATTCGATATGGCCACCAGATTTCTCTACTAGCTTCTCGAGCCGCCCAGGAATCACGTCAACTGATTTCACCAAGAACTCTTGTGGTATGGAAGACATATCTTCTTGTATTCGACCTCCAATTCTTCCAAAGTTTTTGTTTAGTATAGTAGACTTGAAAAGTCACAGTCAGGACTCCTGGCTGACCACTCATACATAAAATAAGGAGTTACTTTTCAATCACCCTGTATGTATACGCATCACTCTTCATTAATGAACTGAGCACTCTGGCTGCTGGCGTTTCTATACATTCATATATAATACTGTTATGGTCCGGTTCCTTGTACCATGGTGATAGTCCAAGGTACAACCAATAAAGAAGAACTCGAACACGGATATATTACACGGATATATTACAAACAGGAATATATACAGAGAAGTAGAAAGTGTTAGTACGAACAATCAGGTTTAGTAGTAATTGTCTGAATGCGAATCTGTTTCGGGCTGCCACTGACTCGACTGACTGACTCGCTCGCTCTGACTGACTGACAGACACCTGGCGGACTTCTGACGGACCTCACTCCAGACTTCAGACTGAACTCCCTGCTTCCTCTTGAGGCGCAGTATTTATTACGTATGGAATAGTCCATTATGTTATTATGGGTAAGGTCCCATAACAAATACATTAGAATTTCCCTTTCTTTGCCGTGCGCCGATAGCTTAGGGGTAGGATCTCGGACAGATGTCAAATCGGTCGAGTTTCGATCCTGGCTTGAAGCAATTGGAATGTCTAGCAACAGAGAAAACAGGCTTGTATGTGGATGACCATATATATATATATATATATATATATATATATATATATTATAAATTACCGTTATCTATCCAAAAAAGAAAAAAAAAGAATAAGTACAAATTCTGCAAATGACAAGATTTTCGATGAGCATATCAATTCCTATAATAAAGCTTTAAAAGAGAGTGGCTACAAATGAAGATAGAAAAAACAGAAGTGGAAAAATAATTTGGTATACGCCCCCCCCCCATACAACCAAATGGTAAAGAACAAATTAGGACAAAAATTCCTCGCATCAAGCATTTTCCTAGTGAAAAGTAGACAAAAATTCCTCAAGTCAAGCATTTTCCTAGTGAAAGTAAACTAAGTACTATTTTCAATAAAAATACACTAAAATTGAGTTACAGCTGTACGGAAAACTTAGAAAAAATTATTAAGAAACATAATGCTAATATCTTAAATAAACCCTTATACCAAAACCAAAAAATTTTAAACAATGGAAATATAAAAACTAATGAGGATAAACAAAAATTATGTAACTGTAGAAACCCTCATAATTGCCCTCTACAAAATAAATGTCGCACAAAATCATTAGTATACCAATTCTTCGATTGAAAATCCTGAAAACATAAAAAATATATATAGGTTGCACTAGCCATGAGTTCAAAAAAAGATTCAGCCAACATCAAAGTTCATTTAGGATAAATAAATATAAAAATCAAACATCTCTCTCGAAGTACTTCTGACACCTAAAAGAATCAAATAAAACACCTACAGTAAAATGGAAGTTAATAAGAAAAGCTA